CATAACCTAACAATTTTTGTATCGTTAACCTAGAAAAGGTTGAGCAACATTGTTCTCAGGTCGTCGAGAAATTGGTCACAATAGCCAGTGACAATTGACCGAGTGAAAATAAAGCGTGGGCAAATCGTGAGTGCAGGGAATCCGCAGTTACGATAAAAGTCGAAAACTAGGAAGATTGGTGCAATGCTAATCGGCGAAAGAAACAATACGCGGGAACGCAGTCGCGAGAACAGTTTAGATTGTTAGATTGAAAGATTATAGTTTAATCGCGACGCGGACAGAGTTCCGTAGCAGCAAAATAGGTTTATTGACACTTCGTCTACTGCATTGCGCTATATTTCAACTAAAAAATTTAGAGAGAAATTTCTGGCCATTGAAAAATGGGACGATTCATTTCATACGATTAATTAACCTGAGAATAATTATGCAACAGAAATATACTAATAGTTATTAATCTTAGTTTAATAATTTAAATTTGTAATTTTAATATTATTAAAAATGAATTTACTTTTACACAATACAAATACACTTTTACACATACAAATAATCTCAATAGTATCCGTTTATCGTATTTTCTGCCTTCTCAAGAGTGATAAAAAATGGATGTTGAGTGCGTTGTAACTTTGTATCGCAAAACATTTGATAAAATGATCGAATTGAAAAAAACTGTATTGTCTGAAACTACAATTATTACATTAGAATATAAAAAAATCTTCGAAGATACGGCATGATTCAAAAAAAAAAAGACTACTTCACAGCCATTCTTATTGCTCGAAAACCATGCTTCACTCGTATCGGGTTCGTCGAACGAGAAACACGTTCGTTTGGCACAGTTTTCGTTAAAGGACCGACGGTTTCTATTGGAAGATGGTACCGGAAGAGGAAGAATAAACGACGGCGATAACCACAAAGCTTCGTGACGTTCTATATAAACGCTCTTTCAAGTTAGCCTCTCTTTCTCTGTATGATGGAATTTTTCTCGTGTATCGTGTATATCGACAATGGATAGAGAAACCGCGGCCTGAAACGAGCTTCGTTGTCGTCATGTCGGATAAACGGTCGCCGCGAAATTCGTCTGAAAAATGTATTCTGCCTTTTACAGCAAAACTGGATCGGACGAACGGGAGAAAAACTGGACTGGACCACTTTATCGAGAACATTTCGAGTTGGAGGACGAAATGGTCGTCAGATCGATGCAAATTACTTTGGCAATCGGATGTCAGGAAAGACGAATATAGAAATATAAGATATATGGAAGAAATATGAGACACATATAATTTCGATTTATCCTTTTAGCGCCTGGACTGTTCATATTCAATATTTTTTAATTTCAATAATTTTTCAAAATTCAAAAAATTCGAAAATCTATGTACAAAAATAGATTTCGCATCGATCAAGATACGATGAAGATAGTTAAATATTAAATAAAACGATAAATGTCAAAATAATTTTTCAAATACATTATTATTATTCAAGTAATATTATTTAAAATAATTAAAATATTATTAATTAAAATATAAATTAATTAATAAATTGAAATATTATTTAAAATAGATAAAGTAACATAACAAATAAAAAAGTAAAAGCAAAATTTCATTTGAATAAGAATTTATTTCGACGATGCAATTTTTTAACAAATATCTAAAATTCCCAAAAATTCTAACACTCTGAAAAAAAAAAAAAAACAAAGAGCATCTGATTATTCTCATACTCTTTTCTATCTATTCTAGTAGAAAATTAGAATATATCCCAGCAGAAGGAAACTTTTTCAATATTACGTGATAAAACGTAATAACGTAGGTGGAATTAATTTATGAGATGTTTAGCCAAACTGCCGATCCTAGTACGTCCACGCATTTGTTTGATTCTTGTTTCACAGGATTAGGAATGATTGCTTAATCATAGTGCAGCAATCGTCGAGAAAATATCAAGTATAATTATTAGAAAGGTAGCCTATGCAAAACTAAATATATTATTCTCTGATACTTTAAATAGTTCTGGAAACGAAAAGTTTTAAAAAAAATTTGAAAAAACATGATTGAGATATGAAAATTTCCACAGAAGTTTCTCATAATCTTAAAGAAACATAAATAAAAAATGATATCGACAAATTAAATTGTATCTGAACAAAGAATAATCTTATCACTGAAAGACATAATATACGGTAAAATAATCGATGTTATTTCTATTTTGAAATGAAATATTGTGCCAGAAACATTTGCGATTAAAATTATTACGATTAACCCTGTTAATAGTGTTTTTAGTAACGCAATTGCCATAAAAAAATGGAAATTTTTTGTGTTATGACAAGTATATTTATTGTGTATATTTTTGAAAAAAGAAATTTTTTCCTTGAAAAAATCAATTATCACTGCACAATGTAATTTAATTTTCAATTCACAGTAAATGCATTTTTTCTTATTTAACGAGTATTTAACTTGTTATATATTCTTCATGTTGATTGACACATCTTTAAGGTGAAATTATACCTTGACGAATTAACGTGTAATTTGAAATTAGTTAGAAGTTTGCTTGAGAAAATTTATGATGATTTTGTAGAAATTAGAACACGCATGTTTGGAATGTGTCAATGTAACCTCAAATCGTGAAAAATTCATAATGAAAAGTGATTCGTATAAAATCAAAGATTAGTCAACTCTCGTGACACATTGCTTCTTCTATAGATTGCGAACAATCATTCGACTCTTGAAACGTCACGAAACATTGTTAATTTTTCTCTCCGTTTCGGTTTGCAATTGACGCGGCACAACGTAACACAAACGCGACGCGACTCAACGCGACACGACGCAAGTTTGCGTTCAATTTGAAACAGTGGGAGCACTTCCGGTTGATCGCGGATACCGCGTTCAATTGATTCTTCAACATTCTAATTATTGTTCTGAAATAATTCTAATTATTATTCTTACTAAAATCAATTAATTGAAATAAACAAACGTCGCGAGCAACGTTTATGAAAAACAAAAAAATTATTTGTTCGATAAAAAGCATTTTTCGTTCGATGAATAATTCTTTTTTTTTTCTTAGAAATAATAAATGAAGAAAATAACACTTTTCATTCAGAATATTTGCAATTTGTTTGTCATACGAATTTCGTATTCGGAATAGGATACGTAGTTTAAATAAAAGTGATTTTGATCAAAAGTTTCACAGTCGCGTTTCGAATCTCAACGACACTTACTTCATGCATTTCACGCGCATTTTTCATTTCACCGTGGTCGTTATAAGTACCTCTTCAGAGTTTGCAGAGCAATACGTGTCAAGTGTGCATTCTAGTCATATATATATATATATATATATAGATGACTTTTTTAACAGAAAATTGTTAAAAACCTCGAGATTTTATCTTTAATCTCATCTAAAGCAGAGGATAAAACGTCTGCACTCTAAATGCTAAGAGAGGAATTAACAGCAGGAAAAAGAAGAATTAGTCTGACTGACGAAGATGTTATATCCGCCTGCTGTAAACATTGAGAGTGGCCTAGAGGAATTAACATTAAAAACAGTGGACGCGCGCGGATACAAGTCTGTTGACGTCGTCTATCCCAGACGAAACAAACAAAAGAGACAAACAAAAAACACAAAACTAGATATAATTCAAGATTGCTTTACTAGAGAATCTCCGATTTGAAAGAATTATCAGCTGACTATGAAACAAAATTCGATAGATTAACATCGGAACTGATATTTAAATCTGTATATAAAGAAATAGATAATAAAGAAAGACAAATTTTTTTCTCTATAATTTAAAACTAATATGAGCATCTATTGAAAGAAATTTTCGAAAATCAGTTACAACAATTACTTTTGAAGTTATCACATATAATGAAATTATATCATATTTTCGTTGATTTTGTGACATATATAGATGTAATAAGAAAAAATAAAAAATAATAAGAAAAAAAGAATCAAAAAAAAAAAGAAAACAAAAAATCAAAATCTAATAGACAAAGTTTCACAATTCAGCATTAATCGTTTTATTGGACTCTGCTTACTACTCTTCCACGATCAATGCATGAATGGAAGTCGAAGACACGCAATAAAATAGTAGCATACGATATATATGTGTACATATATATATATATACGCAACAAATACAATTACAGTCGCAGTATCTTGAGTGTATTATGCGGCAGCATAATTGAAAGAAATCAAGATATTTATTAATCAAATCATTGACACTAAAATACCTGACGCGCGAGAAGAAAATCGCGATGCAGTCCATACACATCAGTGGAATGGACTTGTCAATTGTTAAGCGGCGATACCCGACTATCCACTGATCTCGCGAAAGAATCGCGCGAATAAGACACGAGCGGTTTGACAGATCCGCGGGGTCGATGCCGCGCGTTAATAGCGAAAGAACATCTTCGAGAACTCACCGACGGCGTATTTGGTTTTCGTCGTCATCCACATCTCGAGCGATTCAATAACGGTGCTACATGCCTTGCCAAACGACCACCAACCACTCGTAGTATCACGAAAAATTCGAAAACACAAACATTGGGTGTGTTTGCCGCACAAGTGCCACCCTCACAGCTCTCTCTCTCTCTGGCGTTGAGCAATGTTGCCGATGGCCACTACGAGTTGTGGCTGACTGTCGGCAACGCTGCTACTGCTGCTTTGGTCACGTGTTCTTCAGGAACGTATCTAGTCACTAATTTTAACTTATTCTTCCAAATTCAAATTTATTTTTTTATAAATTTTATTTTGACTTGAATAGTTGTTTGTAACTATCAAAAAAGTTTATATTTCAAAGAAAAAAGTATAATTGTTCATTAAATATAAATTACGCATTTATTTGATCATTTACTATCATGAATTTATTATACTTTGAATTTTATAATCTTATAATCTAAAATATAAGAGTATTTTTTATTTTTATAGAATCAAAAAAAAAAAAAAGAATTTTGATAATAATTTATAAAAATTTATCTCTACGCATTTAAAATTGCTGCAATATAAAATTAAAAACAACTCTTTTATATTCCTACTTTTTGTAGTATATTATCCATTTATTTAAAATAAATACAATTATCAAGAAACAAAAGTAAATCTACTATAAAATATAAATTTCATAAATTCTCTTAAAGTTTTATGTACAGTTTTTGTTCTTATATAAAGTAAAATAAATGATGACAAAGATCTAGACCAAATATGTAATATACGGCGCGTTTCAAATTCAGTGTAGACTAGATCGAAGCTACGGTGAATTATATTATTAATGCTTTACAGTTTATTGATTTATTGATTTAAAAATTGATAGCTTTTCCAAAATATGCAGCTAAACAGGCTTCTTTAAAGGCTTCCGAACATGTCTGTAAATGATAAAATCAATATTCAATACTTAATGTTCGATCATATATCGTTGAAATTACTTACTGGATGTGCATGACATGTCCTTGCAACATCTTCTGCACTTGCTCCATATTCTATTGCAAGAACTGCTTCGTTAATCAATTCACCAGCGACTGAACCAATCATATGTACCCCCAATAATCTATCTGTATTTTTATCTGCTAATACTTTAACAAAACCATCTGTTTCGAGATTCGTTTTTGCTCTGGAATTTGCTAAATGTGGAAATTTCCCAATTTTGTAGTCGACACCTTCTTTTTTTAAATCTTCCTCTGATTTGCCAACCCAACCAACTTCTGGATGTGTATATATTACATTAGGTACACAATTGTAATCGATATGAACGGCACCTATAAACGTATAATTTTTATAAATTTTTCAATATACAAAAATAAAATGCGTTGTTGGTAAATTGATATTCGGAAATGTGCGGATGGTAAACCACTTATCTTACCAAACATGATATACATTAATATATGCTCGATGATAATTATGTTAATAAATATGATAAATTTAGCTAATTATAAGAATGCGTGTTACTCGATTATATGTTTATATTCGACTATATATTTGTTTAAGTTGGCTTATCTTATTAGACTCTATATTTTTCCGGGTACCAACTTATCAGCAATGCACAAATATATATATATATATATATATATATATATATCTTATTACCTCCGGCAATGCCTTCAACTGTAATAATACCCTCTTCTTCGGCTTTATGAGCCAACATCGGTCCATGGATACAATCTCCAATAGCATAAATCCTATATAAAAATAATCATTATCAATTACATCACACGAATTAGAAAAATAAAAAAATATATAAGAAAAAAAACAATATATACTTACGAAGGTATTACTGTTTGGAATCTGTTATTTACAGGAACTCGACCTAATTTGTCTCTTTCAATTCCTATATCTTCTAATCCTAAATTCCAAGTATATGCCCTTCTGCCAATACAATTAAAAGCACATTGCAAGAAATATCCTCTTTCTTGCTAGGATCTTTTGCATCTTCAACAGAAACAATAATTTCATTGCCTGATTTTTTTGCACCAGTGACTTTTGTTCCCAATTTAAAGTTTAAGCCTTGTTTACTTAAAATTTTTTGTAATGTTTGACTAACTTCATTATCGATAGCTACTCCACCAATAAATGGTGAATATTCAATTGCTGTTACTTGTGAACCCAACCTAATAATTAATAATTAAAGCAATTAAAAATACATCATTTATATTCCATATATTTAATTTTGATAAGAAAAGTACCTCTGCCAAACTGAGCCTAATTCCAATCCAATGACACCAGCACCAATTACTATAAATTTTTTAGGTATTGTATCTAATGATAAAGCTCCGGTAGATGAAAGAATTTGTTTTTCATCAAATTCTATACCCGGAAATGGTGTAACTTCACTGCCAGTAGCAATTATAATATTTTTAGTATTAATTGTGCTTACTACTGAACCATCTGGACTAAGTGCAACCACTTGATTTGGACCAGTAATTTTACCATGGCCCTTTACCCACTCTACTTTATTCTTTTTAAATAAGCCAGCAATACCACTTGTTAATGCTTTTATTACATTTCGTTTTTGTTCCATCACTTTATCAAGATTAAGTTTAACATTTTCAACTGCAAGAAAAAAGAAATGATAGTTAAATTATCATATTAAATTTTTAATTAAAAAAAAGAATTATAAATAAATTAAATACTCATAATGCCACGATTTTGTAAATCTCCATGTGTCATATGATAATAATGTGAATTGTTTAACAAAGATTTTGATGGAATGCATCCAACATTAAGACAAGTTCCACCTAAAGTTTCATCTTTTTCTACGCAAATTGTTTTCATTCCCAATTGTGCTGCTTTAATTGATGCAACATATCCACCAGGTCCACCACCTATTACTACAAGATCAGCTTCTAAAGTACTAGAATACCTACGTTGTTGTGCAGCTATCAACCCAGGTACAATACGTTTGACACATGATGGCTGGTAAAATTAGAAAAAGAAAAATGTTAATTAAAAATATATTTTTTTAATTTTCTTTATCTTTGCATCTTTTTAATTTTGAAAAAAATCAAATATAGATGACATAACCAACAGGTAAAAAAAAATGCACTTTTACGTTGAATAATGAATTTAAGAAACTAATTTTGCTTTTTCAAACATCTGATTAATAATTTATATCTAAAAAAAATTGATAGCAAAGGTAGTTAAGTCAATAATTAAATGAAATATACAAGAAAATCATTTGTCCTTCAAGATGTTACGAAATAGATTAAGTATGTATGGTTCGGTAGTGAAGATTGTGATGCATCCATGAGGTCACTGGATAATGAATAATTTTCCTTTTAAACTTACTTTTCCAGAAGTAGTCACCAAACTCCAAAAAGTAGCTTGCATCATTCTTTATAATATACTTTACTATCTAATATAAAGGGGGTCAAAAAGAAAACGAGTCCACGGCAGTGAAAAATGAACACTACCGGTTACTTCAATATCATCCAACTCGCTTGAGCTTTGATAATTCGATATATTGGCTATGTATTTCAGAATTAGCTGCTTGATGGCGCTAGTGATCTATTATGCAACAAAATAAAATAACTTTTCATTGATTCGATTTCGATTCTAAACAAGATATAGCATAGACTTAATATTTTATAAGATTTCGTGCGTAAATTGAAACTTAAAATTAAAAAAATTACTTATCAATTATATATCAATTATTATAAACAAATAATTGAAATTTATAAAATTAATAATTTTTTTCATTATGTTTAAAAAAATATATATATTTTTTAGATATATATATTATCATAGAAGAAATAATTCATTAATGAAAAAATTTTAAATATATTATATAATAATTTTTATAAAAATGTATAAATTATTAATTATAATAAATTTAAAAAAATATAAATTTACAATAAAAAAAATAGAAATTATTACATTATAACCATTTATAATAATTTATATTCCATATCAATAATAATGATCATAAGTTTTCATATGATCTTACGAAGATATAAGATCTGTAAATTTAGGGTATGACTTTTTTTCTGCTATGAACTCATGTCAAATAAATAAAAATAAATAAACAAGAATAGAATAAGATTAATTCTTAACCATTTTGTTCACATTTTTCTATTTGTACAATTAATTTAATTTAAACCAAAATTTAATAAAATGAAATGCAATTTTTGTTGATTTATTTCTATGATATACAATATAAATATTTTTGAATTATCAAATTAATTATAATATACATGTAATCACAGATTTTAATATTAAAATTTAATGCTAATAATAAATAATATAGTAATATTAATATAATAATATTACTCTATTTTTAATCAATAATATTATAGGAAATATGAAATGAATTGCATTTCATGTCTATATAATTTTCATTTGTGGTTCTCTATTATACTATTATACTTATAATAGTTTTTAATATTATAAATATAAGAAAACGAAAAATTAATTTTATTATATTAAATATTGTATCTAATGAGAAATTTAAATTGAAATTTTATAATTATAATGTATATCTATAATCTAATTAAATACTTAAATATATAATAAATAAAGTATTTTTCATTTTATATTCAATTTAATTTAATTATTTCGATAGGTTTGTATATTTATATTTCATTAAATTGTATATATATAGTAATAATTAGCCAGTATTATTTCTTTATGTAATCTAATATTTAAAAATTATTTTGCATTATTAGATAAAAGAAATACAGATATCAAATTTCTGTTAAATTTTTTTCTTTTTTCTATTGAAATTTATTTTTGAGAATTTTTAAACATAACTAGATAAAATGTAAAGAATGCCATCTTGCGGCTAAATAAAAAAATGTTTCTCCGCAACTTAACGTTTATCGATTTATGGATTGGAATTTTAACTATAGTCGATATTTCAAACTTTTGTTCCAACAATTGAAGTTAACTTGATAAATCAATTTACAGAATATTTATTTTTAATTAAAAATATAGAAATAATTTTTATTTCTTGTCAAAAAGAATAACGAAAAAGTAAAAAAAAAAAAAAGAAGAACAACATAAACCAATAGCTAAAGAGATAGAAACGAAAAGAACATTAGGGGTCGAGGGAAAAGGGCAACAGATGTCCTTCCGTATGACGCATGAGTCGTTTGGCCCTTGGCGAGATAGTACTGTTTGCGTCTCTCTGGCTTGTGGAGGTATTGTACATCACAGAAGCAAAGTTAACCCTAGAAGAAACGGTTATCAAAAAATCGGTTAGTATTTTTCATTTTAATAAAATAAATGACATTTTCATAATTTAATACGGAATGATATTACGAAATTTATTTACTAAGATTTTTCTTTTATTTAAATTCCACATACACATTGTTATTGAACAAATATAATTTAATTATCACAATCTAAATTGTTTAATATTCGATAAAATTATTACAAGAATAATTTTACAATAATCTAATGACACAATTGTAATTTGTAGAAATATTTAATGCATGAAAAAAAAATAATAATGCTGCTGTATAATATTCAAGGTTTTCGGGATTAATAATTTTATAATATGTTCAAGTAAACAATTTAATTGATATACATTAAAAGAAAAAAAATGTGCGAAATAATAAAAGGCCAACGCAGAACGTTTCGCGATCAAGATCCTCCACGAATATGCGATAAAAGTAACGATAATTTGAAAAATGAACTTGAATTTTGTGAAACGATTTCCAATTCGCCAACGATCCTTCAACGTGTATCCAGTTTTGAAAAGTGCTTCAGTGAATCTGAATATCACGAGAAGGATCAGCAGAATCGGAAGAAAGAGAAAGCAAATCTAATCACACAGGAAAGTACTTCATCTGATTCTATTCAAGATTCGAATAGTTGTTTCAAGATACCTAAGACGAGTGAACAACCGGATTTTCCAAATGAGACAAACTCGGAGAACTTCATCAAGGAGCTCTCCGATAAAGTGCCTTCTAACAGCTATCACGACAATGAGGTATGTTACACTTTTCTGAATTATTTGTTTCTGGAATTTTTGTGTGTTAGCTTAATAAGTGTTTCTATGTTTTCAATACAATCTCATACACATGTTCAATATAATAAATATTATTATTTCTATTAAGAAATTGCTATTTATATAGAAAGTATATACATTTAGAAATAATGTACAATATATTGATATATACAGTCGTACGATTTTAAATAACTATGCTATGAAATATATTAAATATTTTTGAAATATCTTATTTTTTTGTACGTAGTACTATTACCGTTTTGATATTAAATCAAAATTACATACAATATCGATAATACTAAAAACACATTACTCGATTAAAAATTGATTTTAGATATTAGCTGAAAATCACATATAATTTTTGCTTGAGCGAATAAATCCATTCTTTAAATCCATCCTTTTGGACGTTTATGTACATGATCCGTATTTATAGTATATAGTATATAATGAACAAATTGATTGCGATAGATTCTATAATGCATGTGTTTGCAACGACTTGCAAATAAACTGCAAGCTAATAATTGTCAAGAGATATAATTAAATGAATTATACGAGGTATAAAACATGATGCGTGACCATAAATTTAACACATTGTTTATGATTTACATAACACTATTTACGCACTTTTAATTTTTATGATTTAAATTATTTTATATTTCAGTTTAAAATTTGAACTTGTCACAATAAAATGTTATGCTAATGCCAAAATAGAATTTCATCTTAAACACATACAAGCTTAATGGAAAGAATTTGAAATTAATCGCCAGATTTCTCATAATCAGGAATGTGTATCATTAATCAAAAAAAGAGAGTTATTTTGCGTTTGACCATAAGTACATAATTCTACGACAATTTATTATCACATGGTTTTCCGAACGATCATTAAAGTTGTCTCTGAAAATGTGAATCGTCCTTGAGATGACAACGTCTCAGGAAAAATTAAATCGTACATTCGTTTGCACTTCTATGTGTTCGGTCATTTATCGACTAGAAAATCAAGAATGAAAAAACATCCTTCTATCTAAATGATTAAATTTTCATTGATGACAATGCATTTTCTAAAATTGAAGAATAACCCAATTTCCGTGAGAAATTCCTCGAAGAGGTGTATTTATCGAGAAATCGAAGTGCAGAAATCGTGCGATCGCAGGGCCCTAAGATGAATTAGGTTCGGACCTGGAAGATGCGGGCCCGAAGTCCGTTGCAGGTTCTTTTCCATCGAATGCCTTTCTTTGTGCGGAATTCAATTTAAGTTTTATCCACACCGAATCCAACTATGCTATTTTTCGCACTAGCCATTTTATATACAATTTTACCTTTCCAACTTCTTTTTTTTTTTACAATGAACGTTTCATTATTTATCATGGAATTTTTATTTCCTCTCCAATTAATCTTTTTTCAAAGAATCTGATTTAACGAGTTAAATTTGATATTCATGGGGAGTAGTTGGTAAAAGCGTTGCTATGACTAACTCGTGTAATGCTAGTATGACGGAAGTAGAAGAAGAAAATTAGTTCCAAATATACTTGCAACACTTGAATGCCAGGGAGCATTGACCGGCTATGTTAAAATATTGATGAAGAATCTGTTATTTAGAGGCTGTATAATTATGAGAATTCAAGAACACAATCGCGAATAATGAGTTGATAAATATTTAATCGATATTTCTTGTAATTTATATCAATTATGAAATAAAATCAAATAAATGATGCTCGTTAATAAAATCAATTAAAACTTGATCAATACTTGCTTTCAGGAAATGATATATCAATATATCTATGGTGAAAAATAATCAAAATCTCAAATCTTCACATCCCTCGAACAAGATATAGAAGATTGTTGAAAATTTACTCAAAGAATCGAAAGCGTATTCGCATATTTGTGTCCATATGAATCCACATATTGAAAAATGATCGTAAAATTTGAAGATTGAAACAAGTAGAGATTAGTATTGGTTGAAAAAAAACGCGATGAGTTTGGTGTGAAAGCAGCTTATTAAGGTCGGGTCTAGCGTGGTGTTGCAGTGCAGCTTGCCTGGCAGCTTCAGTTCGATGTTTACGCTCGTGCTTCGAACATTTTTCTTCGGGGCTGTGCGCGGTTCGCGGCGTGATTCCATTCCAGTATTTTGTCTTTCTTTCGTGGATAAGATTTTCCGTATCTGACCGTGCCAACGTGGTAATCCTCTGGCTTTACAGTGAGTGATTTAATATATATTTCCTTCGTTATTTTATATCACGTTATTGGATTCTTATAATAGAAATTTAGAACGTTATTAACACGTGAATTTTTGCATAGTTAATATAAACAGTTTCTTCCCTCAAAATATGCGTTTTATGTAATATTTTCTTGGTAGTAATATATAATATCGCTTAGTTTATTTTCGTATCCTTTGTCGAAACGTTAAATGCTTTCACGTGTGTCATACTTACTATCCTTAGACTAGTTTTCGGAAATGAATTTCTATTGGATAATGGAAAATATGGATTATACTGAATTTATTATAATAAAATATATTTTAATTAAAAAATTAATCGATTGTTTTTATAATTCTTTTCTAACGTTCTTTTCTAACTATATATACTATAAAAATCTTGAATCTTTGTTGCAAAAAATAAATTGATTATTTTTATTTTGATTCTTGAAATAGTTATTTGCAAGAAAATTGGACATAGAAAGAAATAAATGATAGTCATAAAAAGGCTCAAGCACTGCAAATGAGTTTTGCTATATATACTGCTTTATTTCTTGTTTAACCCTCGAATGGTTGACTGATTACTAACAACATAAGATGATTGGCTGTGAGTCATTTATGACTTGTCATTTTACATAAAGAATAGTTTTTCTCTTAAAATTATATGTTATTATTAACCATTAACTATTGTTAATTATTGTTAAAGAGTTGTTAATTAATGTGAAAATAAGAAGGTTTGTCAAAAAACATTAATAATTATAATAGAATCAGGATCATTGATACAATAAATAATCGCATATATAATTCCTAATAAGATTTTTTATCAAGAATCAAAGTGGAAAAAGTAAACAAGAGACAAAAAGTGAAAAAGAATATTTATTCGTGACAAATGTTGAAGAAATAATTTACATGTATAAGATATTTCTATCGATCCAATTTATGAGGAAATGATTAATCATTAAATTTTTCTCATTTCATGCAATTCGCGTGGCGCAAATAAAGATATCTATGTACAACGAGGAATATTCACTTCCAATTCGATCGAATTACGTCAGTGACACGTGCTTACTTAACCTAACAAGAAATATCGTTCGTTTTTGTTATTGACGAACTTGGAATAGATAACGATTCCATTCAAAGTCCAAAAAGTTTATTGATTTTGAAATAATATTTGAATCATATTTGTAAGAATTTGTGTGTAAACAAAAAAAATATTTTAAATTTAATGTAGATAGAAGCAACATAGCTATATTTACATTTAACATAACCTCGATAACAACTTACAAAAATATTTGAATACTTTCATAAAAAACATGTATGAATATATTCTATGTATTATTCAATATTTTTTAACATATCATTTTAATAAATTTGATTATCAAGATGCTATAGATAAAATATTAATTTAAAAAAGTTTCGAAAATATATATAAGAAGTAAAGAGCCTATTAAATGTTAAACTATTAATATGATAACAATTGTTCAAATATTTTTTTAACTATATTAGAATGTACAATCATAATAAATATATTGAAAACATTTTAAAAAGTTTTGTATAATATTGCATATATACAAATTTTTTCTACAAAAGTGTTCAAATATTTGCATGAGTCATTATATATAATTCATGCATCATATAATAAATACAATTTTGTTTTTAAACTAGTAGTATTAGATTAAATTAGCTAGTCCGTAATAAAAAATTCAGTCATAGATTTATAATTTTTAATATTTATATTGAAAATCCCTTGATCAATATATGCTTTTATCTATTTTAACCTCAATAAAATGAAATTTGTCTACAATATGAATAACGGCGAGATGATATATATTATTTATATCCATCGTTGCTAGAATTTTCTTAATTTGGATTTCGCTTGTAATGTATTCGAAGCTTTCGTACCATATCCATCATCATGCTGTGCCACTTGTTACCGATCGTGAAAATGAAACGAACGGAATTCTCAATTATTTCATAATGAAAATCCTGCCACGTAGATGAAAATTGCGAAAGTCGACAAGAATTCGACACGAAGTGGTTGAACTTTGCAATTGCGCACCACTGTTCCACGTTCAATTTCTGGTGAATGAACTTTCTCCCTTGTCGCGTATCTGCATCTTTTCTTCTCCTTATATTTTAATTAAGCCCCGTCAAATGTCGGCGTTCACCACGAATATTCATATTTTTCACTTTCCCAATTTATCGCGATTTCGACAAGTTAAAGATATATATATATATAAAGGAATTGCCTTATTCGCCTTCTCGTTTTAGAAGTATAAATTCCATCAAAGTTCCACGAGAGTATCCTCGAATTCCTTGCGATTTCTTTTCTGTTTACGATATCGAGACATTCGCTGCGGAATGATTATATGTTATCGCTTCGAGTAATACATATACATATACAAAGTTTGCATACATGCAAGCTTGATGAATAATTAATAGAGAACGGTTATTTTATTAACAGAAACATAAATTCACGATCTATTTTTATTTATTCTATAATCGAAAGTGGATCAGTCGGTTCAGAAAAATTTTTTTTTAGCAGTTCAATGCGAAGTACATTCCCATCCATAAATACTTTGGATACTTGTAATAATTATCTAGAAAAAAATTATGAAATTATTAATTAATCCCACTACTTTTGTTAATCTTAATATTTTATATTTATGCATTTTTCTATATATTGCCCATGCTTCTAAGAATTTTGTTATTCATAAATCTTTTCCTTATTTCAGATATTATTTTCGGATTTGTCTATCCAAGGAATCCCATATTGCATTGCAGGATTATATCATATTATTATAAAATATACAATTAAATTATTCAATTTATAATAATATATATATATATATATATTATAATAGAATTTGAACATCATAATAATTGTACGTCGATCGTTCATTAAAAATGAACGCGTGTCCAAACTTATGAAGGAGAATGTACATGAGTGCTTCGGTAGCAGGCGCATATTGGGATCGCATCGCATCTATTAACGAGAGAGGCAGGTGTTCTACCGTTCTGGGAATTATCTGGCGTTATCTGGCGTGTTTAGTTCGCTTACTTTTTAACAAGAGTGAGAAAAAATAAAAAGCTGAGAGAAATGGAAAAAAATTCCAACGTTCGTTGTAAACATAAAGAATCAAGTAAAGCATTTTCAAGAAATGGATAATTGTGTCTAATTATCGAAACAAAATATATGTAAAAATATTATCGAGGCACTGTTATTATACGCACCAGTGAAACATGCGATCGAACAAAAATATTAAAAATATATATATATTTAATATGAAGAGAACATTAAAACTAGGGTGGTGCAATGAACGAGATAAATACCCGGTAGAGTTTGAAAGCGCAAGACTACCAGTTTTGCAGCATTAATTAACCGAAGAACTGGTTATGCGTTCAAGACTAGATTCCGTTGGCGAGGTTATCGCAAAGTAACTAGACTGTCGAGTTGATATTAGTGATACAAAGCGATCGAAAACAACTAGTTATATTCATTCATTTTATTGTCTTTTTCCTTTTGTCCACGTTTTTATTTCTTGAATATATATAGTCATTCGTCACAGTGTTTGAAAAATTTCATAAAAAATTTTAGGAATATGATACGTGTTCATATATAACAATATTTTTTTCTCTATATATTTTTATTCTTTTTGAATATCATTAACACTATAATAAAATAGAATTGATCATAAAAATTATGGAAATAAAGAATCAAACGGTTGTAACAAATGTACTGAAAGTATACGGGATTTATAAAATATTGATTCTATTTGTTATATTAATTTAGAAAAATATTTAAATAGTTAATTATATAATATGCACATATTGAATATATATTTAATATATAACTATAATATATTAAGTATTGTAATACATGTAATATTATATGTCAAATTATATAAATATTTTTTAATTACTATTTCTTTTTTAAATTTTTCTTTTTAACTTTTCAATTCATTCATTTTTCAAAATTTTCTAAATCTGTTCTAATATTTTTATAACGTGTATTAATCATTTTATTTATGATAATGACACTTTAAAAAAATTAAAAAATTTTGTATAATACACATATGTTTTTTTTATGATAAATGTTAAATATTTTCTTCAATTATATAGCACTATTGAAATATAGCAGTTTGAAATAATCCCCTGGTTCTCGTGTATTTATCCAGGAAAAGGAAATTTATCTAGCGTTGGATGCAGCGAAAGTCGCTTGAGAAAAAAGCTCGTTAAATAACAGTTTTTATAGAAGAGATAAAAATCGATAATCGCGTTCTAGACTCGCGCAAGCTATAATTTCCCGCGATAGGCAACTGGCGTTTGCAATAAGATATAAAGTAAGAATATTCGCTGGTTTCCTCCGTTTCCACCTCGTAGGAAGCAATTATTGTCAAATTAATCTTGGCAATGGGCTCGTCGGCGTGGCGCACATTCGAGCTGAGAGCATAAGTGCACTCGCCATTGTCTCGTCGGCCAACTTATTCTGAACTTACAACTTGAGATGTTGTAAATAGCAAAGAGTGAAAAATTCTCAAGAAAATTTGAGATACATAATTGAAACAAACAATAGAGAAATATGAAATATTTCTATAAATTAAAAATATAATATGTAATATAACACGTAAATTATGAACAAATATTTAATATTGGATTCAACAATTGGATTCGATGCGAATAAAATATTTATTCTCCTCTTAATTATAACGCAATATAATTATAACGTACTCTACTTCTTATCTCTTATTCGTTGTGCATATTGAAAATAGATTAAAATTTTCACATGTTGCGAGGAAAAATTTAGAAGTATAAATTCATGAAAATAAAAATTAATTTTATTAAAAATAATTAAAATTATATTTTTATAAAAAAATTATTAATGATGATGAGAGAGTTGAGAAAAGACAAAAGAAAAAAATTAACAAAAGACAAAGAGATGTGAAGATTTTATGCATTAGGAAGGAATTTATGATGCATTGTTCAGTATATTGTTATATTCAAGAATGATTCCCTTTCAAATACAAAATATATAAAAATTATGCATATGCATAATATGCATAGAATAAACATAAATGCGTATTGTGCAAAATATATATAATATTAATAATGTACGAAATAAAAAATATAATTTTAATTTTCATTATTATAATTTTGTCAAAATAATAAATATCCAAAATATCTATAATAATCACTTAACGTGGAATATTAACATCAAATATTATTATTACTAGCTATGGATGCATTGCTATCGCTAGAGAAAAAAAAAACTCTATGCAAATTCGAGAGAAGATTAAGAACCAATATTTAAAATGTTTCATATGAGTTGAGAAACTGTCATTGCATATTATGTAGCACAACGAAAGTTTTATGTAACAAATATATAACGTTTCGATTCATAGAGCTTTCGAAATTGTAATATTATCTTATATATCCTGGGAATATATTTTACGCTTCGTAATTTTCCTATAAAATATTTTTCACAAGCGGAAATTTATTTCGTTATCTCTAAATTTATTTCGTAGTAGTAACGTTAATTATTATTTTTAATATTATTATACATTAATTTTTTTCATATGAAATATTTGTATATAGTATATCAATGACAGATTATTTATTAAATAATTCTAAAAAGTAATTTTAAAATAATTTATGTAATTTGAAAATATCTTAAAACGGCTTCTATCAAATGACTTTTACATTGTACACAATTTGCGTCAAAGGCAAACATCAAAATCATGATTACAATCGAAAAGAAAAACGACTGTTTATCTATCGTAAATTATACGATAGTCGAGGTTTTATAAAACGCATGGTATCATTCTACGTAATCAGAAAGTAAACTAATGTTATGAAATCCAATAATCTTTTAATTTGTATAACAATTCTATTGCATAATAATATTGAATAAATGACGATTCCTTTTTCCAATTCAGCATTATTATTGTCAAAAAAATTAAAATTTTGTCTCATCATTTTCTATTTTTGCAATTATTTATAATAATATCAAATTTTTTTTGTAGAAATAAAATCTAATAACTATTTAGCAAAATTAATTATAGAAGAAATAATTATATTGTAATTAATTTTTCAATTATTATCTTTACTATTTAAAGAAAACAATTATAGAATCAAATATAATTATTGAAGCTTTTATTCCATACATTTTTTATATAAATGGAAAAAGTTCAATTTTCTTGGAAAAAGTTTCAATCAAACAAAAACATATTTTTTTTTTAAAATTAGAGATCAAACTAAACAAATTATAGAATACATAAGTACATTATTGATTAACAACTTGCAATCATTAATATATTCCACAAAATTTAAAAATGTAAAAAAAAGTTAGGTTAAGATTTTATTACTTCAGAAAATTTTGTAAATAAAAGATCTGTCATATCAATAAATAAAATTACTATTTATATATGTAATAATAAAATTAATTAAAAACTAAAATTAAATTAATTAGAATAAAAATAATTTAAAAATTCAGAAAATAACATTTATCAAAATTAATTAAATTCTTACTATTCAAGATATTCTCATAATTTAAAAGATCGTGAAGTTTTATCGATAGAAAATACATTGTCATTACGTGAGTAATAACAAGAGAATTTATTTTCATATCAGCATTGTGGTCGAAACAATAAATCTTTTCAATAATTCAGACTTGCAATACACGATTTTTAAATCCGAAATATTTTATATAATATTAAAATCCGTTTGATCACGAAATAATAAATGCACAGTAATTTAAATGCAATACTCATATGGAAAATGTGTATGTAAGCACATATATTGACTGATCTAATTTCAATGAGAGTATTCGAATATCTTTTATCAGGACTGAAATTGGCCGAGTATCGAGGAAGAACAATAATACCTCTGATCGAGTTATCGACTATTTGCCTTCCTCTTCGACGTCGATAAACAGAAAAGTTAATGGACAGTCGTACAAAATGAACGTATGTTTTGTTCTACTATATTTCATCATATGCAATTCATCCATGAAATTTTAACATTAATTAAAAATTATAAACTTTTTTAAAAATTTTTGTATTTTATGATAATTGATAAATAAAAAAATATCAAGATTTAACGAAATATTAATTCCAAATTTAATCTAATCTAATTATACCAGCATTTTTTATCTTTACTTATCAAATATTTACCACACTGTAATAAAACATAATAAAAGTTAAGAAAAAATGATATACTAAAATAAAATTGAATCAATTAAATTCTTAAAAAAAAATATTCTTTAATTTTTAATATAATTTTCTAAATTTATACATGTAATAATTTAAAAAAAAATCTATCTATAAAAAAATAATAATCAAGTTATTTTTTATTTCTCCTACTTCATATAATTTTGTATAAAACATTTTTTTATAAAAAATAACTTAGTAATTATTTATGTATGTTTCAAATTATACATGAAAGTACCTAGTGTATGCAAATAGAAACGGTATCGTTTGACATGGCCATCAGGAAACGTAATTCGATCATTTCTCGCAATTGTATACGTACGCTATTCTATAGGAAGTAATTCTAATAAAATGAATCCGCATAACGAGCTACCGTGCTCGTCGTACAAAGTGAGAGCCGCTATTGTTTGGGTTGGTATTCGTGATTCAAGGAAGAGAGGTTATGGTCCCAGACTTGGTGTGCAACGATGTTTTACTTTCTACGAAAAATAAAACACATAATTTTAGTTGGTGAGAGAAGAGAGTCTTTACGGTGCATTTAAGATGCAAAAAGCATTCAATACGTAAATAATAATTCATATAAAAATCAAGTATCATAAGGTGTTGTTTTACTGTGAAACGAATTCGAAATCTGTCTCAAACTTTTGTTAAAATGTATGTAAATGAAATAACAATCTAATCATTCATAATTTCCTTAATAAAATACATTTATATATATAAAGAAGATATATATATATATATATTATATATATATATATATATATATAAAGAAGAAAAGAAATTAAATAAAAAATAATAAAATTAAAAATTTAACTTTTTTTATAAAATGATATTTTACAAAACAAATATAGAAGAGAAATTTCATCGAACACTGTGTACCGCATATAGTTTTTTCAAAAGAATATTTTTTTTTTATTTTATTATAATTTCAAAATATTCTAAAATATTTTAAATTTATGAATAATTGTTACTTTTCTTTTGCATGACAAGTATGCTTCTCGTAACGAAAGTCAAATACAATTAACATGTTAATTAGTTTTGTTTACGATATCAACGAATTCGTCGTGAGAAAGATATATAATTGTAAAGAACATTGATAGAGTTGGAACGTGAATAGAACGATGCCTATTGTAAGTGACGAGGTCTACACAACCACTCTTTATTGAGCGTCTGCACCCTCGGCTACTCGTGGGAAGTAATTATTGGCAGATTAATTCCGACAACGAGTTACCATGGCGGCGAATTGGCCCTCACATTAAAGAAGCGCTTCATTCGATCATTGTTTTCGTCGCGGTGCCACTAGACTCTAGCTCCAGAGGCTGCGCCCACGTCTATCATTCGATGCGCTGAAATGTAATCTCTCGATGCTTTCGAAACTAAATGGCATTGTCCGCTCTTTTATCTCTTTCTCTTTCTATCTTGTACAAAATTCTTTGTCGGAAGAAAGTTACACTCGACTTGTGACAGTGGACATTCGATGCGTCTTTTCGTTCTTTATTCAGTGTCATTATGGATACTTGGTTGAAGTTATCAATTAGAAAAGAGAAGTCTAAACGATATAAATAGAATGATAGAAAAGTGAAAATATTTGTTCTTAGATATTGTGAGTTCGCACAATAATGATTGATAGCGTCAATATTTCAATTTTTTATTATTAAATAGTACTGGATTAATAATTCGATATTACGGTTTGTTTGACTATTAATTTTTGTTTCTCGACGAAAATCAAACATGTTTCAGGTAGATTATAAAAGTTTTCATACTCTATTATAATTTATTTTGTTTAAAAAAATTACAACTATTAAAATGTTTTTTAATGAAGTTTTAAAATACTATTATATATAATAAATATTAAAATATCAATATATATCTTTGAAATATTTTGTAAAAATATTTTATAAAACTACAAAATATAATAAAATATTAGAAAAATTTTATTATTTCTGTTTATCAAATTAATTTTTTTTTTCTATTTCCACAATCAAATATTTTTCTTGAGATATCATCTATCATCGTATTATCTTCTTATGTTTTAAATCACTTCTTTTATTTTTTTAACATTGAAGATATAATTCATTTTTCATTTCAGTTGAATTAGCTTCTATTGAAACAGAGTGTAATCTATGTTAAATAAATCAAAAAAAATTTCCTATCTCTAAATTGAAAATAATTTATTCCGACAAAGAAATATTACATAAATCTCTTTATTTATATAAAAATTAAATCATGAAAAACTTGAATTTTTAATTATTATGATAAAATGCGATAAATTTACTTTGAAAAATAGCAATTTTTAAAAATGTATGTAATAAAAAAAACATTTGAGAAAATAAAATAAAATAAACAGTCTAAAATAAATAGTAATATTATACCAACATTCTTGAAATACTGAAAATCTTTCTCAGTGGTGACATCTCTCTTATAATTATCCTAAATATAAGAATATATACAAGTCAAATTGCATAAAGAGGATTAGTTACGACTATCGTTGCAAAGAAAAAAGAATACCAATGTAGTAATAAAAGTTGTTGAATAGTAGTAAAATATGAACGATATAGAATTGTTTCTATGGTTGAACAGTTAAAAGGCTGAGTGAGCGCGAAAAAAAAGAAGAGAAAATCGTGATGCAAAAAGAATTAGAAATTTCCAAATCGAAATCGATAGAGGTTAGTGTTAATGGTAATGATTGTGGCGCTTGTGTCGTATTCTTAACATTTTTCGTTGGATTGTGAACGTTCGAAAATTAGCTAAATTATTAACCGTTGACAGCTATTCAAGCAAGATCATAATCCTCATATTTTACTGTTCATAGATTCCATTATCGTGACTGAGATGTAGTTTCATGTTACATTTTACGGAAGCTGTGCTTCGAAATATGCAACGTATCATGTAGTCATGTCGATCGATCTCGATGATCCGGAAATTACAGCTAATTGAAAAGTTGCAAGCCACGCATAACATGGTTCACAAGATTGCAATTTTTCGTGAATTCATTCACTTTTTAAATAGTATTATATATTAAAATAAAAATTTATATAATAATAAAATTTTAATAGTAATAATAATTATACAATTTTGATTTTTTTCATTTCATTCTAAATATCATTCTGTTAAGGATACTTGGATGGATGGATTTTGGTCTTGATATTTGGATCATATAATTTTAAAGAGAATCTTGAATGATGAATTGATTCGATCTAGATTCGTATCGATACATATCGGCTGAGCGGAAATCGAAGCCTATCGAGAAGGCAAGTGCGGACAGGGAAGGAGTAGTAATCAGTGGACTTCCTGTATCTAAAGTCTTGACTTCGTCGTCTCGTCAGCATTTCTCCAAAGCAGTTCCGGCCGATTGAACAGCCGCTCAAATATTCTCAAGATGCATGTGTAGTTCGTTCAATCGGACGTTTAGAAAGCGAACGTATAGCAGTTTTATTTTTTCATCTGCCTGAGAATTGGAAAAAAACAAAATCAAAAATGCTCTCTTCTCATTTAAACAATATTGGAAATTTAATATATGCTATCTTACGATCCAATTTTATCTTTCTATATATCGGTGGATGATATAATATGATGAATGAAAAATTCAAAGGTTGTCAAGATATTTTAAACTCCTCACATTTTTTTTTTTAACACTTTACTCAAATAATAATTTATACAAACAAAAAATTTTTATTTTCTAGCATTTACCATATCTCAATATGTTGCAAATCATTATATTACGCTATATATCAAGAATGATATAGAAAATAGAAAATTAATATCTGAATATTTTTGTGTTCATATAACTCGCATTAATGATGATTTTGTATAGAAAAGTATTTTAATACAACTTGAACTCGATATAGATAATTATCGATATAAAGATCGATAAAATCTTTATCTTCATCGTTTCAAAATTTTAATGCGGATGAATTCGAGGTCAAAATCGAACTGATAGAACTGAAGAACAGGGGAAGGAAAAAAGAGTATATGAAATCAAAACTTTTATATGTATATATATTTATAAATACTGTAAATTATAATTGTAAATTTATTTTTTTTAATTTCTCTAATTATTCAGGAGTGCCTTTTCTCCCGTTGTTGAGCTTTCAAGAGTCTCAATTGTAAATCCAGAAGTGAAAAAGAATAAGTATAAAATCACGCCGACAGATTAACGAGATCGATGAAAAAAGGAACGCAGACGAACGCGAGCGTGGATGGATCATAATTTCACGGTGATGAACTTAAACCGGCAATAACTCAGACGGCAACAACGATTCGCGTGCCCGTATTCGCGGTAATGGGGCATGCCCCGTTACAAAATCACCTTTGCCAGAGAATGTTCGAATGCTTTCGTAGCACCGACCATGTCGACTCCGGTGAAATTTCAACGCAGCTAATTAGAATTGAGATGTATATTATGGACCGACTGGTCGCGACAATGCCTCGTGGAAACGATAATGACCGCAATTAGACTGGTCTGGCCACTGCTCCTTAAGTATTTCTATACCTCTAGATATTTCTATACTTCTGGATGCAGACTCACAAACCAGAAATCGAACCGTTTTAATTCTCGTATTCTTATCTTAAGAAATCTATTTCTACCGTTATTTACTCGTTTTTATACCTAGAAAACGTTTACGTAGAAAAAGTTTAATGAACTCGTTAATTAAACAAACTCGGGATTTATAGAAAGATAAGAGGACAAGACATGGTATATGACCATGTATGGTTTTGAATGATAAGATTTGGATGATGGATGACACGTGTATAAAGTGTCTTCAAGAGGAGAAAAGAATAAATCTATTTTTGCTTTTGAATTATTGTAGGTAATGTAGCTTAAAAAAAATTCACTAACCAAAGTTTAACTTAATGTGTACTTCGAGTATTCATGTATCTGGATAATAAGAACTTAATTTTCAAGCTATTGTAATTTATTTTAAATATTATTAGTAATATTTGCTTCCATTTCGAAAAATAGAATCTTTGATAATGATATTATTGATATTTGATATGAATTAGTGATAATAAGGATCATTTACTTATATATAAGTGCTTTTTAATATTATCTTAAATTTAACAAATATATTCTGTTAATCTAATTCTCATTTTCATTACTATTTTTTTTAATTAAAGTTTTATTGCACAAATTGTGAAAATAAATTTTGATTGTACATTGTTAATGTACTGATAATTTTTTGATTTAAATTGATATAAATATATTCTTATTTCACAAAATTAGAGAATCGGCCAAATGCCCATAACCTGCAATGCCCTTTCCCACGAATAGAAAAAAATTCCAGTCCTGAAATTAACCTCGTCATGAAAACGTTCGCATATCATCAGTGGCACGATCGCGCGACTGCACGCGGAGAACTTGAAGGTCGGTGCCCGTTACGACGCACATGGGTCACCCGATTCAAATGATGACGACTATGATGACGATGAAGAGCATCATGACGACGAGAATAAGGACTGCGAGAACTATTCTTTATCTCTGTTTCTCCCGTAGCGTGTGCGGTATACTCTATCTGTCGCGTCTCGCGCGCTTCGTGTCCTCCTGTCAGTTGGCGTGGCGCGCTCGAACGAGCGACAAGTGTTTCGAGTCGTGCGCTCTGAACCTTTGCTTGCCCTATGAACAACTCGAGCAAAACGCGGTAATTTCTGCCTCATAGTTTGTTTCCAACCAACCTCGGGCTACACATTTTTCTCCGATTGTTTCCCTCAAGTCGTGCTAGAAGAAATCTTCTTCTTCGTTGCGATCGTGATATCAGCTTGATGTGCGCGGTAGTTTTGAATGAGTACCTTGAACTATTCTTTTTTGAGACGCTATATATGTAGAATATAGTTCGCCCTTAGTTAATCGACATACGTCGTATATAATTAAGGTTTTGCTGGTATCGAATTTCCGGCATCTTGTCGAATCGGTAAACAGTTCGATAGTCCTCGAAAACGCGTTGAGTTTGATAATTTCGGAATCTTGAACGATTTAACAAAACTCGTGATTGGGAAATACAAATTTAGAAGAAGATCGGTAAGTACGAGATATGAATAACAGAATAGATATTAAATATTTATATCAGTTATTGTGTACATCTTTGGCATTATTTTGAGAATTCTTGTTTAAAATATTTCGTTGTCTATTTCGTTTCTATTCTTCAATTTATTCAAAGTAATTTTCAAGTGAAATGTTTAAAATCTCATATAAGAAAAAAGTTATCACATTTTAAAAGACAAAAAACCAATTATTACCATGCTTTATTTAATATATATTTTTTAACGAATACTATGCACCATACCGGATACATTGTTTGTTTATCACAAAGTTAGGTTATGTTTTACCAAAAGATACTTCGCAAGGATGCATTACGAAAATTGACTATTTATTGTATGGCATATGAAACAATTTTAAAATTAGTCATCAGTCATGGATTATTAAAAGATATCAATATGTATTAAATTTATTATTAAATTAATTGATTTCTAATAATTTAAATATACCTTACATGGACATCATATTTTCTATTTAATAAAAAACAAAAGTTTTATTTCTTAAAGTTGCTTTTCTTAAGTTTTTTGACAAGTTTTGAATCATACCAGTCATTTGAAACATTTCGAAATCAAAATAATATAAAAGTTTTAGACTCTTAATTGGAATAATTTAACAAGTAAAATTATTAAATTATCTCCGATTTTGTTAAAATTTATCGTGTAAAAAAATAAGAAATAAAGTGATTGATGTAAATTTACAAATATTCTAGATTTCTCGTTAATTTGAATAGGACGCAAACAATCTTTAGAAATAAAAGAAAATAATCATGGCAAAAAATTTTACCGAGATTGTTGGACAGTCTCATTTCGACGAGTCGATTAACTTGCTACCCACGTGAACGCATGCAGGGCAGTTCTTGCGTTGCGAAAGAAACAGATCGATTTTAAAGCTCGTTGAAACGTTCGTCTCTCTACCGAAGCAATCGAGCATACGAGAACCGAGCGCATACTTATAGCCGTTTTGCAATTCGATTCACCGATGCGTGCACTTGCTGTCTCGAGAATAATACCCCAGCTGGGCAAACCTCCGACATTTTATATTTTTTAATTTTAAATTTACATCCCTCAACTTGCATCAAATCCATTAATTTCACTGTCCTCGTTCAATATCTCTCTGTCATCGCAAATGGAAATTCCCGTTACAATGATTTCTTTTCTGCCCCGTCTTCGAAATATTTTCCTTTTATTTTTCTTTATATTTTCGATTCTCGTTTGACACTAATTTTCAAATAGAACGAGTTTTATTTCATTTGGCTGATATCATTCAACGCAACACTTTCAATAAATTTGTAATTTAAATTTAAATTTAAATTAAGTTGAAATAAGAGAAAGATCGTTCTGAAGTTTTATTTTTTTAAATTTATTTTATAACAGTAATCAATATATATTTATATAATACCGATTAAGCGAAGTTAATTTAGGGTTAAGTTTTAAGAACTTAATGTAGTTTTGACACTCAAAATTGTCATATTTTATTTTTATCCATCGAGTTATTTTTATATCCACTATTGAAAAAATACAAAAGAAATTTTTGATAAAAAAGATAATCGAAAATTCGACGATCTTGTTTAAGATTTTCTTAATTATTGAAAAACTGTTATTTCTGAACTGATCATTTGCGCAATAAACGGTTCGAATTAAGATCAGTCAAGCAATGGACATCTAGGGAGACGAGTTGCGTTTTACAACGTATTCGAGCCACGGGAACGAATTTTAATGTAACATATTTCTCCTAATGTTTCCTTGTTCCCGGCAAATACAATGAATACCGCCTCTGCGATACGATCTTTTCGTTTGAAGCTTCGGTGAAAGCGTACCACGAATTAAATTTTATCCTGTAACTTGTCGAAGCTGAACGAAATTATTGCTCGTTAGATCGATACTCACTACTTTCCAACCTAGCGTTATTCGATTTCTTTGTTACGTACTCTTGCGGTCCCATAAATTGATCGATTTATCCCTCTAGATTAACATTTATTCACCATCATCGGAATTATTCGCTTTCGAAAAATCTCTATTTCGATGATCCAATCCCACGTTGCGTTGCGTTGCGTTTCCATCGCGATAGAGTTGGGCGATTTAGGTGACCAGCGACACCTGTTGTCGTCGTATCTTGTTACGTTTGTGGTTGCCGGACGGAATTTGAACGAGCGACATAATAAAAAATTGTAATTGGAATTGAAAACAGTACACGGTGTGAATCGCTAATGTAACTGGATAATATTTGAGAGAAAGAATTGCAACGGAAAGTATTTGCACACTATTGTATTTATTATAGCATTTAGATATTAATTAATTGGGTCAATGTATATTATATTTCGTATCATTTAGTAGTACTTTCATATTATTATAAAAATGAAATCTAGAACAGGATAAGAAAATGCTTCATTGAAAAATAAATAAAGATATATGTGCAAATACTTTCTATAACCACTGTATACCCTCAAGTCATATCAAATATATAAAAAAATTAATATATTTTTCAAAACAGTAAGTAAAAATTGTTTAAATTAAGAATCTTTATTTTGTTGTAGAGATTTTGAAGACACCTTATTATTATAAAAATCCAGATATGATTGTATTGTACCCGCTCATAAAATAAATTTATGTAAATATTTTCCATCGTTGTAAATCTTTCGTAATAATTCGTAATAAAAATTAAAGAATGTTGTCACAGTCACGAAAATGACATTTGTCCAGTTAGATTGGCAATCCGTTATACCATGGTACTGTGTGATGTAAATGAGTTTGTTTGTGGCATGCCGCATCGACTTCCTTCGGTGTCGGTCGCGTAGGAATACATTATCTTTTATTACTCGACTCGACGAGTAGTTCTCTTCTCTCTGACTGCATTGTTTCCGCTGGAAAATCACGAGTATCCCCTTGATTGAGCACCTAGAATTTTCTCCTAGTTGATTTTCAAGCGCCTTTCGTCAAGTCGGTGACCTTTGAATTTCGCCTCCGGCTACCGACGGTTGAATGTAAACGAAAGCGGAAAAGAAACGAGGGAAAAAAAATGCTCGTTTGTGTCGCGAGAAACCCGATTGCTTCGGGAAATTCTTTAACCCTTTTCTACCGACTATAAACATTCAACGTTGAACATCCAATGTACAATATGTATATATATATCAAATATAGCAC